TAAATTTTTTATCACAAAAGGAATTAAGTATTTTTTCTGCAGTCACTTAGTATTGATTCTTTTCATCTGCAATGACTTGGCTTTTTTATTCCCTTGTTACTTATTTTACTGTGAAATAAATGTCCCTTGTGATATCTGACAAACAACATGTAACATGCAACTTATTTTGTTTGTCTTGGAAAATGATCAAGTGCTACTGCTTATCATTTTGATTCTCAGTGAGTGTCCCTTGTCTTTTTATCTCATGGCTGATGAATACAGGTTACTATTATATAAATGGTAACTAGTTTACCAATAAGACACATTTTTCACAAATGTGAAATTAATACATGAATTTTAAATACTAGATTGGCCTGAGTAAAGAAACAAGTGGGAAAAAATGTAGTGTGGATTGTTGACTTTTTAGTCTATGTTGTTTTCAGATAGCATAGAATTAGACTATTAAAGGGCTGAAATGTGTATCTTCTATGAATTTTCAAATTTTGATTTAAATATCACTTTCTTGCAACTAATAAAATTATTTCCACCTTGAAAGATAAAAGCTGTGCAGGTTTATTTTCAAATTGAAAGTCGGTCAAACTGGCTTCCTCCCATCTGCCTGCCACATTGTTATTCCTGCAGTGGTCTTAAAGAAGCTCAGTGAAAATGTTCCGTTTTTCTCTAATCTTTCTCCCTGTTTTCTTTATAATTTCAGCACTGCTATTTGTTAAGCATACTAACCCTAGCCCAGCATCCATAGTAACACTGTTATTTGTACCAGGAGCTGGTTGTATGCCCAAATTTGAAGCTATAAACACCATAAGTCTTAGACATCAATTCCTGTTTGCAAGTTCACCTCTGACATTTAGTACTAATGATGTGCTTTGCAAATCCAAATTGGAGGATATGTTAGAGAATAAATTCCAAGGGACCCAGCACTTGATATGTATGAGACATCGTCCTGAAGTCAGAAATAATGTCTCTTGGTTGGGAATTCATGATTATGGAATAATCCTAGTGAAACTAATTAAGATCTAGAGGAGCAAATGTTTTCATATTGACATTAAAGCTGGCTCTCGTGGAGTGGTACCCACTGTGACTTTCCCTATATTGACATTACTGTATACGTGTAATTGTGTTCATGTTAAAATATTAGCTGGACAAAGGTTGTTTTTGAGTGTGTGGCATAATTAGAGTTCATAGCAGCTGTTCCAAAGGTCTGTGGGACTCTGCTCAGTGCCACTGTGACAGCACGCGTGCCGGACACAGCACTGTCCCAAAGACAGGCGTGTTGGCCATGGTGGCAGCTCCTCGCAAGCATTCCATGTGTCGCTCTCACCTAAGAAAAGACTGCTTGTGGCTGCCAGGGACACAGCTGTGAAAGAGCTAACTTTCCCACAAATAAATTGAAACTTGCATAAGACTAGGTAATTATAATTTGTGATTAGCCAAAAGTTCAAACAGAATTTGCAGGTAATATTTTTACCTAATTTATGAAGCCAACTTTCTTGTCATACTCTTTATTTTATGTCTATAGCAACATTTAACCTCTTCAGCCTAGAGCTTGTGGTATGCAGCAATTTCTTTAATGTAAATAATTCTTCTTCCTGTCAGAAGCTGTTATTACAGTGTGTGTATTTTTTATTAGTAGTAGTGTTTTTTCTCAAGGCAGAGGAACAGGTACGATCCACTGGTTTACTCCCCAAATGCCTAAACCAGCCAAAACGAGGCCAAGACCAAAGCTGGAGCCAGGAATTTAACCCAAGTCTCCCACGTGATTGCAGGAACCAGTCAGTTGAACCGTCGTTGGCCTCCTGCCAGGGTGTGCATCAGCAGGGTGTCAGAATCCAGCATGGAGCCTGGAGTCAGACTTGGGCACTGTAACGCCAGATGCAGGGGCTCCGGGTGGCATCTGAACTGCTGCACCAAATGCTTGCTCCTGCAGTCATTTCTAGAAAGTAAATCCAGTACCAATGACTGAAATCTTGAACCCACAGTTTTTAGTTGCCGTAACTATGTAACGACGCCCATTTCAGCTATACTTCTACACAGCATGGAGCAAACAGCAGGGATGTGAGCTGTATGTTGTATTTTTTTTTTCTGCCTATCCGACTTGTAAAAAAAAAATCAAAAATAGGAAATGCTACATGGATGCGGCAAAGCACTAACTGTAAGGCAACAGACTTGAAGCAGTTTAAGTGTCAGTAGTATCCTGGTGAAAAAAAAACCTGCCATAAAACCATGAAATGGATTAAAATGCTTCAGTGAAATACAATGAGAACGTCTCTCCGGCCTAGGAAGTGAGAACAAGAGCAGTGCAGGCACATAGGAGTAGACAGTGCACTAGCTTTGTGTGTTCAGAGTCTGTATGCTTATATTTTCAGAAATAAATAATAGATAAATTCAGACCTAATAAATGGCCATTTATAGGTTGGGAGAGGAGGAGGGGCAAGAGATAGAAGAAACCAGAACTCCCTGAAGACCTTGACCTTGTCTTTAAGTTTTGGCCTTAAACTCACGTAAATGCTTCTTGCAGTTCAAAAGCAAACTTAACCACAAAATAAAGACTTAATTGAAATAAATTAACCCTGACTCAAGTATTAGAAAAGGCAAGTGAGTATTTTTTATTATATTATTATTAAGGCCAAAGTTTTTTGTTTTGTGTTTCTTTGAAGATTTACTTATTTGAAAAGCTGAGTTATAGATGAGAGAGGGAGAGAGAGAGAGAACGTGAGGTCTTCCATCTGCTGCTCCAACTCCGCAAGTGGCCAAAATGGCCAGAGCTGGGCCAGGCTGAGGTCAGGGGCCTGGAACTCCAACTCAGTCGCCCACGTGAGTGTTGGGGGCGTAAGAATCCAGGCCGCGTTCCCTGCTTTCTGAGGCACGTGGAGGAGAGGTGAAGCAGCCAGGAGTCGGGCCGGCACCCCTAGGAGTAGCCCCGGCACAGGCAGCATCAGCCCCCACAGCACATCACTCCCCAGAATCAGAGAAAAGGTAACCACAAAGGAAAGATTGCTACAGTCTTACAGTCTTTCATTTTGATTCCTACTATCAGCAGAATCTCATTCATGGCGTCTAAAGATAACTGTTGCTGAGTCTAGTCCTCCAGTGGTGAAGGCCTTGAGATGCCAGTGAGCGCAGCACTGTGCCATAGCCTGGATTCCCAATGTTCACCTTTGATCACTTCTGGACCAAATCAACATATAAAGAAAAGGAGTGAAGCGAGTAATTGTGACGAGCCTGCACAGGTCACCACACAGTGATGAGGAAGTTCTTCATAAAAGAAGAATCAGGGAGCAGTGCCGTGGCTCCATGCCCAGTCCTCCATCCTGTGGCGTTGGCGTCCCATATGGGTGCGGGGTCATGTCCCAGCTGCTCCACTTCCCTTCCAGCTCCCTGCTTGCGGCCTGGGAAAGCAATTTGACCTTAGCCCTTGAAATTCTGCATCCATGTGAAAGACCTGGGAAAAACTCCTGGCTCAGCGATTCAGATCAGCCCAGCTCTGGCTGTTGCAGGAATTTGGGGAGTGAACCAGTGGGTGGAAGACCTCTCTCCTCCCTCTGCAAATCTGCCTTTCAAAGAAAAAATGAGTAACTCTTTAGAGAAGGGGAGGGAAGAGAGAGGAAGAGAGAAAAAGGGATCAGCTAATGAATTCAGGAAGAATAAAAAAATCAGAAAATCAATATTTCAGGGGCCTGCATTGTAGTGCAGCATGGAAGGTCACTGCCTGCTTGCTGTCCCGCTGTCCCATGCAGGCACCAGTTCAAGGCCTAGGTGCTCCACTTTCAATTCAGTCCCCTGCGAGTACGCCCGGGAAACAGCCAATGATCACCCAGTTCCTTCGGCTCCTGCACTCATTTGGGAGATCCAGATAAAGTTCCTGGCTCCTGGCTTCAGCTGGGCGCAGGCTTAGCTGTTTTGGCCATTTGGGCGGTGAATCATTGGCTGGAAGATCTATAATGGTGACTTTCAAATAAATAAAGAAATAAATAAATGTTTTGTTAAAGAACGTTAACTGAAATACCGCTGTAGCACTTTGTTAGAGAAGGCGTGAAGTGAGACTCATCGGACAGTCGTAATTGTCACAAGCAGTGGAAGAAGCACGTGCTGGAATAGGAGAGCAGCAGGAATTATCATCATATTGTCACTGTTTGACCAAAAGAAACCAAGCCTACATACAGCCACCCCTTTGCCTAATTACTGGTTTATACAGAGTATGGAGATAGAATGACATGTTAGATGATACCATGAGAATAAACCAGATCCAGAATACCAAAATTCTTATAGAATGAATGATTCAGGTGCTTTAAAAGTTAAGTGGCCATGGGAGAGAAGCATGACGCACGGTACGTGATGAGGAGACGAGACTCACTGCTCAGGTGCTGCGTGTGACTCGTTCCAATTCTGTTTCAAACAAACCAACCTAAAAAAATATTTTTAAAGACAATAGGTGAAGATTAAAGATTAACTGTAAATAACATTGAAGACATTTTGGTAATATTTTTAGTTGTAAGAGTGATATTGTGATTATGTTGTTTTTAAGCCTTTTCTGTTAGAGATAGCTCCTAAAACAGGAGGGGCAGCACGATGCACTCTGGGATTAACTTTAAATACTCAGAATGCTCCCGACTGAGCTAAGGGTGGGCAGATGCTGAGGAGTGGCAGGCGGTGCTCGTAACCGCTGCTGGGTCGATGTGCTCTTATCCCGCTCAACGATACGCAGGCACATCAGACGTTACATGAAACTTGCCAGCCCCTCATTGTATTGGCCCAGGTCACCTAGAATCAACAGTTCCTTCTCAGTAATATTTTAGGTTTTAGATGTGTCTTGCTTCCTAGGAATGTACATTTGTGAGCCTTGGGGAGAAAGAAAAGTTTCTTATTATAGTAAAGCTGTAATATCTTTTCTTCTCATCCAGGTTCATATATAGTAACTTTGTCTTATAGGGAAAAAAGCAGTGCTTAGATGTGGCATTAACAACCTTGTACTGAGATGCACTGACATTGTACTCTTTTCCTAGACCAAGCCACCCTGGTAGAACAAGTAAAAAGAGTAAAAGAAATTGAAGCAATTGAAAGTGACTCTTTTATTCAGCAGACATTCAGATCCAGTAAAGAAGTCAAAAAGGTAAGTTTCCATCCAAGTATTGTGAATCAGGCTTTGGATTCCAGCTGAAGAGATGCTTTATGAATGGATTTTACTGAAAAGTAACTGTTGCTTCTAATAGATGAAGTGGGATGAGAGAATGTCAGGCATGCTATTGAAAGAATGAATCGGTGAGAATCAGTTCAAGTTTAACTTTCATAAAAATATACTGTAAAAATGTGTGTGATGCCATTTTTATTTTACAATTCACGGGAGATACAAAGATTCAACTTTATGGTTCTCTAAGCAATATATATTTGATGAACATATAAATTTTCTTTTCTAATACATAATATGGTTTTTTTAATTGTGTACTAGAGAAAAGTTAGAAATTGCTCCCCAAACAGTACTTTGTATCTCCAGTCTTTGTTCAGATGAGTGTCACTTACTCAGCTGTAGTGAAAGGACCTTTCATTGGCGTTGTGGTTCTGTTGAATTTCATTGGTAAAACTGCTTGTAGGAATTTGCTTGTTTCCCTAGTAGGAAAAGATCCTAATGTAAAAATGCATTCTGTAATAAGAGCCACATGGCGAAGATGTGGTTCTAGTTACCACTTACTCTGAAACATTAGCTATAAAGATATTCATGGCTATGTAATTAATGAAGATAATAACTATTTTCCTCTGATACAAGATTTTAAACAGTCCCAAGTGTGGAGATATGAGTGTTTGCAAATATCCACTACTACCTTTTAAAATAATTTTTAAGATGGAATTATTTGTTAAAGGTTCATATTGTTTATTACCGTGTATCCAACGCCATCTGCCCAGAGTGTTATACGTGTTCAAATCCCGCCCGAAAGTGCAAGATGTGTGCCTCTCACACCATGGGTAACCCAGGGACTTAGAGCCATCAACATTTCTACTCACCTGAAAAGTGACAGCACACATTGTTTTCATTGGCATTCTTGTTACTAGTTACAAGAAAGTCTTTTCATTATTTCAACATACAGAAATTGACAGTGCGCTGTGTGCCAGGGTCAGGATCCCACAGTCTCGCGGAATCCGTAGTTCCTGTGTTGTCATCATGCTGATTGCACTTGAACGTTGGTAGTTTGTCATCACAATGGCTGAAAAATGAAAACTATGAATGCACAATCATAACTACGCATGCCCATTGACCTTACATACTGCAAAGCCCTTTGTGCTTGTAGAATGTCTTTTTTAAAGATTGATTTATTTATTTGAAAGGCAGAGTGACGGGGCAGTGCGCACACACACAATCAATCTTCCATCCCCTGACTTACACCCCAAATGTTTCCAAGAGCTGGGGCTGTGCCGGGCCAGTCAGGAGGCAGGTGCTCCCTCTGACTCTCCCACGTGGCGGAGCCACCATCTGCTGCCTCCCCAAGCTGGAACGGAAAGAGAGCAGTCAGGCCACGACCAGGCACTCCGTGTGGCTGCAGTACCTGCTCTGACACAACACCCAGATCAGGCATTTACTGCTACACTTATGTCCCTACTATTTATTTTCTGAAGTTCATCCTGATTTGTCTTTTCTTGCTGGACTCTCTTAACATATTAACATTTTATTTCTTCAGAAGTACTTGTTCTTCCATGGTCAACATACTGGGTCTTTTTCTATATGGATTTTTCCTATTTGATACTAATAATTAGTGTTTCTCTTTAAACTTATTTTTAATTGAGTGCCTCTCTTTCCAGAAAGTGTTCTCTGGAAGAGAGAAAGTGATGCCAATGGGAAATAGGCTAAAAGGCATCAGGAAATAGTATTTTGTTGATGAATGTAAAACAGGATAGTCTTACTCATCCAACGCTAGGCTTTTTTTATTAGCCATAACACTTTAAAATGATCAAAACAGCGGTAATAGGCTAGCAATGAACACATTGACATTTTCCTGAAATACAAATAGAAGGGAAATATATTAGTTGTAGGTGATATCCCTTGTTAGTTTCTAAAATATCTGTGTCTGCAATATTAGACGAAGTTCAGGATGTCCAAGAAACTGAATTATTTATAAGGAGATTACTTAGCAAAGGGGAGGCAAATTATCCTAAGGACTGTTTCATCTAGGTCCCGGGGAGGTATGATGGGCTGACCTGGCACATAGCAGCAATCACCTGTCTACTGAATTACCCAGCATCTGAGCTTTAGCATTGTATCATTAACTTCAAGAACCAAGACAGAACTGTTTTCAGACTGTTACAGAAAAGTTGATTGTAATTATTCACCCCTTTTGTTGCATCAAGTGGATAACTAATTGAGTGTGTATCATTAGGGAACCTGGCCTTTTGTTCTTTTGCTGGAAACTATGTCATGAAACTAACTATGCCAAACAAAACCACCAGGTGGCAGTGCTACTCAAAGCCACTTTTGATAATGGCCGTGCTGAGGTTTTGTGGCAATGGAAACTTTGTTCTGTCAGTTTTCATAAAGCAGTCAACAGGTCTGGTCTCTCCACGCATTATTAAACTATGCAGTATTAGTTAATAATTCCGCTACAGGCCTAACCCTTGAAAGAGTCACCTTATACAAATATGTGCTTATGTGCTGCTCACAGCAAACATTAAGGTATTGTACAGGTAAAACTAAAATGAATAGATTTGGTTTATGTAAAACAGTGGTGTTACCCTGGCCATCTGAAAGGCTGGATCATGTCTGGCACTCGGAATAGTAACACACCACATGATTTCAAAGCAATTTGACTTGGACCGCCATTCCTTACTAAGCTCTGTCATAGCATGGCTGAATCATGAAAATGATCAATGCATACAGTCTCCGTAAGGCAATGTACACCACCGAAAATTAATATCCTTGACCTGAGTGAGTTGGCACACTTTCTGCTATTCTCTTTGCACAGCTTCACAGAGTCAGTGTAGTGCAGCATGAGGGCCGTAGCCATGGAAACACACACATGCTTGTGGCCCTGGCTCCAAAATATGAGAAGAGAGCTCTCCAATCTAACGTAGACTTGCTTAAATGTCTATCAAAACAATATTTTATTTCTCTGGAAATTCTGTATGTTTTTTACTGTTGATTTCTAGTTTTGGGTAGACTAAGATGCTGTGACTTTGTGTCCTAATAGATGGTCCACCCTAGGAAATGTTCCATGTGCCGATGAGAATGTATGCTTGTAGCTGTTAGGTAAGATGTTCCAGGCCTGTGCTGGATCCCGTTCGTTGATGGCGTGGCTCAGCCCTGGCTGCCTTTGCCGGCTTTCTGTCATGGCTGATATGTTCGTTGATGACAGTGGCGGGTTCACGTCCCCACTATTACTGCACTGGAGGCTGTCTCCCCCTCTTGTTCCAGTACGTACCTGGGGGATCTGATTTAGGGACATATTCATGATTGTTGTATCTTCTTTCTGAATCCATCCTTTTACCAACATATAATGCTTTTTATTTCTTTTTGCACAGTTCCTAATTTAAAGTATGATTTACCTGATCTGAATATAACTACTGCCACCCTTTCCATTTGCGTGGTAGCTCCTTCTCCAGCCCTTCACTTTCAGGCCATGTATACCTTTACCTATGAAGTAAGGTTTCTTACATGCAACACATACTTGGGTCTTGTTTTTTGTTGTTGTTGTTTTGTTTTGTTTTTAAAATTTATTTTTATTGGAAAGGTAGATATACAGAGTGAAGGAAAGACAGAAAGATCTTCCATCTACTGGTTCACTCCCAAAATGGCTGCAACTGTCAGAGCTGAGCTGATCTGAAGCCAGGAACCAAGAACTTCTGGGTCTCCCACACAGGTGCAGGGTCCCAGGACTTTGGGCCATCCTCTGCTGCTTTCCCAGGCCACAAGCAGGGAGCTGGATGGGAAGTGAAACAGCTAGGATAGGATCCTGTGCCCGTATGGGATCCTGGCTTGCAAGGCAAGGACTTTAGCCACTGAGTCTGGGTCTTAGTCTTGTTTTTTTAATCCATTCACCCAAGCTATGTCTTTTGCCTGGGAACTTAATCCATTTATGTTAAAGATTAATATTGATAGATAAAAACTACCTCCTGTTACTTTGTTGATTGGCTACTAATTTTTAGTGAATGCGGTACTGTCCTGTATTGTCAGTGTTTACTTCTGATGCAGGGCTGCCTTCAGAATTTCTTGTAAAACTAGTCTACTCTTAGTGAATTCTCCTAGCTTTTGTTTGGGAAATACCTTACTGGTTTCCCCTTCACTTCTAAAGAATAGCTTTACTGGGCAGAATATCCTTCATTAGGAGTTTTTTCTGAAGGAGCATGTTCATTTTTGAAACCTAGAGTATACATGCTGTTCTGGCCTTCTGGCTGTTAGTCTAACACACTTTTCCTTCATGTGTAATTTGACTTATAACAGGCAATGAGATTGAAGCAGTAATTAAAAGTCTCGTATCAAAAATTAGGACTTAATGGTTTCAAAGTATTTCAAAATGTTCCAAAGGACAGAACTCTACCAAATTCTTTTTGCAAGAATGGCATCCCCCGATAGAAAAACCAGAACAAAAATATAACACACACACACACACAAGCTACAAACCAATATCTTTGGTGGAACATAGTTCCAAAAATACCTCACAAAATGTTAGCAAAGCAAATCCAACATTACATCAAGAAGGGCCTACCTGACTGGCAAGTGAGATTTATTCCAGAGATGCGAGGGTGGTTCAATATTCACAAATCAATAAATGTCATAAATCACATCAAGAGAATGAAGAACAAAACCATATGGTCATCTCAAAAGACAGAGGGAAAGCACTTGATAAGATTCAGCATCCCTCCTTGATAAAAATTAAAACTCCACAAATTAGGTATAGCAGGAACATTTCTCAAAATTATTAAGACTATATATGATGAACCAACAGCCAGTATCGTCCTGAAGCGGGGAGAGGTGGACACATCTCCCCTCTGATCTTGGACAAGGCAAGGATGTCCAATTTGACCACTCTTATCAGGATAGTACAGCAAGGACCAGTAACAGCAGTTACGGAAAAAGAGATAGGGGCACCAGGATGTAAAGGGAGCAAGTCAGGATGTCTGTCCTTACAGATGACGTGACGGGTTACATAGGAAACCCTAACCACTCTGCCAGAAAGCTGTTAGAGCAGGTGAACCAACTCAATAAAATCAGAATACAAAATCTACATATACCAACAAAGATCTTGCTGAAAATCAGAAATCTCATTCACAATAATTGCAAAAAATCATGCGTTTCTGTGTCCTTGATAATTACTTTTGTCAATGTTTTATAATTTACATTGTAGAGATCTTTCACTTCTTTGGCTAAATTTATTCCTAATTAATTTGATTTTTTGTAGACTATCCTTGCTCATGCCTCGGGAAAATTGGCATCATTAAATTTTTTGTTCTATCTAAATCAGATTTAGTGCAATCTATATTAGCATTCTTGTGACATTGTTAACAGAATAAAAAAGCACTTTGTTTATTTTTATTAGAAAGGCAGATTTGCAGAGAGAAATATCTTCTATCTGCTGGTTCACTCCCCAAGAAGCCACAACAGCTGGAACTGAGCCAATCCAAAGCCAAGAGTCAGGAGCTTTTTCCAGGTCTCCCATGCAGGTGCAGGGTCCCAAGGCTTTGGGCCGTCCTTGACTGCTCTCCCAGGCCACAAGCAGGGAGCTGGATGGGAAGTGGAGCTGCCAGGACAGGAACTGATGCCCATATGGGTGAGGATTTAGCCACTGAGCCATTGTACTTGGCCTGATTAAAATACTTGTAGAATTTGTGTAGAATCACAGACACAGAAAAGTTACAACAATCCTGAGCAAAAGACAATTGAGATGGAAGCAAATCAAAGTATGCTGCAAGCTAGAGTAATTAAAACACCATGATATACTGACATAAAAACTGGCACATAGGTCTGTGGACAGAAGAGAGAGCCCAGAAGTCAATCCACTTGCATATAGCCAACTTATTTTTGACAAAGGTACCAGAACATACATTAAAGAAAGGGTATTATTGTGAAAAAGGATAAATAGTGCTGACATATGAATGAAATTAGATTCCTACTCCTCATCACTTATAAAAATTTGTACAAGATGGATCAAAACCTAAGTTTAACATATGAAACTCTAAAGTTGCTGAAAGAAAATATAGCAGAAATACTTGCAGACGTTGTCTTTGAGTGATGACTTCTTAGACAAGGCACCCAAAGCAAAACTAGACAGATAGGATTATATTAAACTCAGCATTTTCTGCACAGCTAAGGAAATGATACAGTGAAGAAACGTCCAACAGAATGGGAGAAAATAGTTACCAGTATCTTATCCAGCAAAGGGTTAATATCCACAATGTTTCAGCGACTAAAAAACTCAACAAAAAACCAACCAATCCAATTATAAACAGTCGAAGGACTTGCACAGACAGTTCTCAAAAGAAATAGAAATGCGTGAGAATTGCTCAGTGTCATGAGCCATCCGGGAAATGCAAATCCAAGAAACAGGAAGATACCACGTCACCTCCGTCAGAATTGCTACTATCAAAAAACAATAGTAAATGCTGGCAAGGGGGTGGACAAGGGCAGCCCTTCTACATTGTTGCTGGGAATATAAATCAGCGCAGCCACTGTGAAAAACAGTGTGGAGAATCCTGTAAAGGCTGGAAGCAGGCACTGGCCTTGTGACGTGGAAGACGAAGCTGCCCTCCGCATCACCAGCTTCCTGCATGGGCACCAGTCCATGTCCCAGCTGTCCGCTTCTGACCCAGCCCTCTGACAGCAGCTTGGGGAAAGCACTGGAAGAAGGGCCAAGTGTTTGGGCCCCTGCTGCCCATGTGGGAAACCCAAATAAAGTCTCTGGCTTCTGCCTTTGGCCAGGCCCGGCAGTGGCTGTTATGGCTGTCTGGAGAATGCACCAATGGCTAGAAGATCTCTACCCTGCCCCCTCTCCCCACTGCCTCTGACCTCCGAAGTAAATAATTCTTTAAAAAAAAAAAAAAAACTGGGAATGGAACTGCTAGTTGATTCAATAATCCCACTACTGGGGTGTATACCCCAGGACAGACTCACTGTTACTGGAGAGCTCCAACTCAGTTCTGGCCCCGCCGATGGCAACAGCCAGTCCAGAGTCAAGCGCAGTGTCTGGCTTCAGATAAATGCACAGAGGAGATGTACTAAATGTACACAGTGAGATGTCACTGAGCTATTCAAAAAAGTGAGTTTTATCCTTTGCAACACAAAGTAGAGAACTAGAGGGCAAAATGTTGAGTAAAACAAGCCAGATAAAGCCAGACAGATATGTTTTCTGTCTGATATGGGAACTAAAACTGAAAAAAGAAAAAAAAAAGGAAAGTCTGACCACAGGAATGCTGAATATTAGAGGTGTGAGAGGAAGCAACGGTTTTGGCTTCAAAATGTACCAAATGTGAGATGTTAATAGGGAAAATGGGATGACGTATATATCAAAACTACAAACAGGAAATGGGCTTGAATAAAATACATATTAAAAAATAAAAAAGAGGGCCTGGCACAATAACATAGTGGCTAAAGTCCTCGCCTTGCATACCCAGAATCCCATGTGGGTGCCGGTTCTGTCTCAGGGTGCTCCACCTCCCATCCAGCCTCCCTGCTTGCAGCTTGGGAAAGCAGTCGAGGACAGCCCAAAGCCTTTGGACCCTGCACCCGTGTGGGAGACCCTGAACAGGCTCTGGGCTCCTGGCTTCGGATCTAGCCATTGTAGCCACTTGGGGAATGAACCAGTAGATAGATCTTTCTCTCTGTCTTTCCTTTTTTCTGTAAATCTGCCTTTCCAATAAAAATAAATAAATCTAAAATAAAACAACACTCAATAAGTTAACCCTTGAAGTTTATTTTTATACCTAATAGTGCCAATGTAAATTCTGAAGATTTGTTGCAAATTTGTTTTGATTAGTAGGATTTATTTATTTATTTATTTATTTATTTATTTGATAAACAGTGAAGCAAAAAAGGAAACATCCCATCCACTGGTTCACACCCCAAATTCACACAAAGACTTGTGCTTGGCCGGGGCCGAGGCTAGGCCCGAGAGTGTGAACACGGTGCAGGCTTCTCACAGAGCTGACCGGCATGCAGTCTTTGACGTGTCACCACTGCCTCCCGGGCTCGGCACTGGCAGGACGCCGCAGTCGGAAAATTAGGATAGCTGCTCCGTGGCCGCCAGGCTCAAGCCACTGTGCCAAGCAGAACTGGGGACCAGCTAAATCAGTACAGTTCAATAGCATAGATGCAGAATCACCAATTTGAGAAAATCATGCACATCACAGGCAGTTAAAACATTTCCCTTGTATCTTTGCATTGGCTTTATGAATTGTTTTCCATTCAGTAATTCAGGATCTTTTTGAGATGGATGTCTTCTCCATGAAGACTAATTATGCAGTTATTAAAAATCAGAAGTATCAGAGAAGAATTGTAGTGTATATTATGTTTGCATCAATATGTGTCGTGTCTCTCAGTCCGTGGAACCTACTGAAGTGAAACACGCGACTCCGGCATCAGGACCAGCGTCAGTACTTGCTGATCCACCCAGTGCTGAAAAAGAAATCGACACCACCAGCATCCCTACTGCAATCAAATACCAAGATGACAATTCCCTGGCCCACCCAAATGTAAGCCCCTGGAAGCCTTGGCGATGTCAGCTGAGCTGTAGTTAACAGGAATCAGTCAAGACCGTTGGAGGAAATGGGCTCATGCAATTGTGTGTGTTAATTAGACAGCTGACCCTTCACCTTTCAGCTATTACATAGATTTGAATCCAGTTCAGGTCAATTCATGTTACCTGACTTCTGGAGTTACTTTATGTATGGTTAAGACAAGTGGGCAAAGCGGAGTTATTTTTAAAAAGAAAAAAAACCTCATTAAACATACTAATCCCACTTTAACTCCTCTCTTAATTGACCATACACGTGTCACTGCCATCATATATAGACTGCCGTCTATCAAATGTTGTAAATTCACTGTATCTCTCAAATCTATGACCAGAAATCAATTACATAAAGTGTGGAACCATTCGATGATGGTGTTGATGTCAGTTTTTACTCCAGGAAGTTCTGTGTGTTATTAATCCCAAATAGTTGGTCCTCAGAAAGTCAGCAGGGACTGAACAATATCCAAATCGTGTGCTATGAGATGTGTAAAGTGACTTATATAATGTTAAGGCAAATACAAGCTTAGCAGTAGACAATCACATTTTCTCTTTTGCTTTTCTTTCAGTTATTTGTTGACAAGGCTGATGCTGAGGAAAAGTGGTTCAAGAGATTAATTGCACTCCGACAGGAAAGGCTCATGGGCAGTCCAGTGGCGTAAGCAATACCCGTGTGACTCAAGTGACAAAAACATCCTGAAGTTCGATTTTAAATCCCAGGATTAACTTTTCACTCTTAGAAAGGATTTTTATCAGATGAAATCTCTCCTTTCTCTCTTGTAAGCTTAGATATTTGTTGATTGGAATTAAATAAAGCATTTTGAATATTACACTTACTATAAAACTGAAGCCGCGCGAGGGTGTAACGGTATTAAGAGTCGTACAGATGGCAACACTAAATGGCTCCTGGTGTTTCTTAGTGCGATTTGTAAACTGTCCAATTGTCGTTTACACTTAATCCTAGCCAAAGCACCAAGAAGTGATCATATTATCATTTTAATGTGTAATTTTATTAATAATTAAGCATGTGTTAAGAATCCAATTATTTGCTGAGATTCCAACTTCCATGTTATGAAAGGATTTTTGATTCCTTAATTTCATCTTATTATAAATTTTCATCACAATGTAAGTACCCTAAGTAACCCAAGTAAGATAAACATGCTTATTGAAAATAAAACAAAATAAAATAAAATAAAAGGGTAAGTTTTGCTTAAAGATTCCATGTGCCAGATACTCCCTTTGAAACAGGCTGGCTGATGTGGCTTATTTTTCAGAAATTATGCTAGACCTAACCTGTTGACCAAACACCATAGTGGGGAAATAATTTTGAGAAAATTGGTAAGAGTTCTCACTTCAGTCTTAGCCATTTGTTCGCTGCAGGGGAAGCAGCTCCGAGTCCCTTGGTGAGGCTGCCAGTGTAGAATGCCTTTGTCTGAGAGAATAGCAAATTACTGTGCATTTCGTACTGAACCTCCAGGGATCAGGGCTTGAGGCCTTACTTTACCAAACTGGTTTCCAACAGCGGACATGACTATTTCCCTTTACTATTTTGTTCTATATTCCATTCTCACTCTCATTAAGTTTCTTTAACGAACACAAGATAAACATGAAAAGTCTTTGGAATTGGAGCACCAACGTGAAGGCCATTTTAGTGCTGTCTTTTTAATATTTCTAGACCTGTTAAATCCTAATCTCTGCCAAAAATGAAAAGCATAAAGAACTTAAACTCAAATACAAATGACACAGAAAATACACCAATTCCGAATACTTGTTTTCATACTTGTTTCCCTTCTAAATAGAAGTTGGTGTTCTTTTTCTGTGACTGTAAATAAAAGTATCTGGTCCAAAGTCGGGCTGTGTGGCTTTTACACGTATATGCAGATCTTCATGATTTCAGAAAGGGATACAGTCTGTGAGATGTTGGTATTTTACTCTACGCAACTTACATGCTGTGGGAGTGAGATTGCCATTTTAGAAATTGGGTTTTAGAGCTCATGGCAAGAATATGTGTTGTCATTTATGCCACCAGTGATTTTCCACAGAAAGAACCTGGGCTAGGCAGTTTTTTCTTAAATATTTATGTTCATTTCATTTAAAATGCCAGAGAAATAGACTGAGGAAGATCTTACGCACACTGGTTCACCCGCCCACCCAGCTTCAGCAGCTAGGGCGAGTCCAGGCCAGCCACGAGATGCCAAGGACCAAAAACCTGGGCCGTTTCTGCTGCCTCTCAGTGCACAGAACTGGGCACTGCAAAATGGATTGTGGGTGACCCAACCAGTGATTTCAACTGCTATGACAAATCCCCCACCAGTTTGTTTAATGTGCCTAATTCCAAATTTCTAATATAATAATGAAAGATAATGTTCCTCATTTTCAGTAAAATAAAAATATTGTTATCTGCTACTTTCAAAATTTCATTTACTTTTATTTTTTATTTCAAGGACAGACCATTGAAGAGAAATCTTCTATCCATTGGTTCACTCCCCATATGCCTACACAGCTAAAGGTGAGCCAAGCCTAAGCCGTGAGCCAGGAACTCAGTACAGGACTCCACATGTGTGAAGAATACTTGAACTATCGCATGCTGCCTCACTGACGTAGCTTTAGCAGGAAGTTGGATGAGAAGCCAAGTAGCTCAGCTCCAGACAGGTACTCTTCCATGGGAGCTGGCTACCCAAGCAGCGACTTAACCTACACATCCATCCGATTATCTACTAATTACATCAAACACACCAGTGTTTCTCTCTGACAGCTACTCTGGATACATAAGTTTTAACTGCAATAGTTTTACATTTTTAAAGATTTATTTATTTTTATTGGAAAGTCAGATATACAGAGAGGAAGAGAGACAAGAAGATCTTCCATCCAATGATCCACTCCCCAAGTGACCACAATAGTCGGTGCTATGCCGATCTGAAGCCAGGAGCCAGGAACTTCTTCCAGGTCTCCCACACGGGTGCAGGGTCCCAAGGCTTTGGGCTGTCCTTGACTGCTTTCCCAGGCCACAAGCAGGGAGCTGGATGGGAAACGGAGCTGTCAGGATTAGAACCAGTGCCCATACGGGATCTCGGTGCTTTCAAGGACTTTAGCCGCTAGGCCACCGCACCAGGCCCAATATTTTTACATTTTAAAGCCAAATTTTCATAGGTAGTAGATAAATTAAGAATTTTTTTAGAGGAGCTAAATTTTTGTGCCTGCAGACATGCAGTAGTTGTTTCCTTCCTCCCCACTTCCCAACAGGATCCATTATGATGTTGATTTTGTTTACCTCAACTTCTAAGCGCATAATATTACCATACAAGCCAAATCAAATTTAATGAGAAAGACTTCATAAAACACTGTCAGACATATCTCAAACACAACTCCAGCTGGGTGATGCATCCTGACGTTCTTTAATATCCTAATATAATGCGTCTATAAAACAGAGCAATCCCTTTCATATCACTTGATTAATGACAACAATTTGCACTTGTAAGAGGCCATGAGTATTTTGTGAAACAAAATGGGGGCTACTCATAATGTGAGTTGCATTTTCATTCCTGACTACTGAGACATTCCCAGGGTGAATGCAGCAGATACTTGAGTCATTCATCTGCTTTGCTTCAGCTTCCTAGCATGTGGGATGGAGATCTGGCAACAGACTCGCCAGCTTCTGCAGTGAGATGACGTAAAAGAAAGCCTGCCCTAGGGAAGCGCCCTGCTTGCAGAGAGCAAGTAAACATTTTAATCAAGTGTGGAACAAAGAGTTGCGTGATCTGGAGAGCAACACTGCAGCTTTGGTGCACTTCGTATGTCTGTTCTTGGATCGCCATAGTTTAACAGTCCCTGTGCCACTTTGCCCTTGGCCTTTCCTGCTCTTCTCCACTGCCAAGGCTGTAAAAACTCCCACCTGCTCAGAAGTCGGTGGCCCAGTATCTACTTACTCGAGGAAACACAGATCCGCTTATCCATTTAGTCACAAACATTTGTTTTGAGTTCCTGGGTTATACTGACCGCAGTAAGGGGTACTTGGATATACTAATGGATGCAGTGGGAATTCTGCCCTCAGGATGCTTAGTTGAAAAAGCCCAAACCTGTAAATGACAGAAGAGATACAGTATTTAATGGCAGAGGAGAGAACTTCATTGTAAAGATCAGAGAAGTAACTCAGACTCCATAAAGACTCAAAGTTTAAGCAAGCTCAAACTACAGGCTCTCACGATCACCACTCACATCTTTGGAATAAGGTCGGCAGCTGTTGCAGTCCCAACCTAAGGACAGAGTCCCTGCCTATAAGACCCAAAGAACCCTGTCCTCTCAAGCTTATAAAAGCAAACTGTGTGTTTCCTGGTCCTTCTTGTACTCCCTGCAGCCAGTCCTCTTTTTAGAGACTGAAGAAGGACAAGTCTTCACTCAGCTGAGAATCAGCAGTCTTGCCTTACTGTCACTTCTCAGCCATGAAGATGTGAGGTTCTGCACTGGCAGCTAAGGAGACTGCCTGTCTGCAAGAAGGAATTCTGCCAGTAACAACCAGCTCGGTCATGCAGCCTGCTGTGTGTTCCGTAGTGCTGCTAGTCTGTTCCATGTTGTTACAGAGAACTTCATTTTGGACCAGTTCACTTGGCCAATTCATTTGCCTGTGGCTAAATTCTTCCCAGGATATTCCTTTGGTTTGTGTATCAAGTGAAAAACTAGGCAAATACGATAGTAACCAAAACTAGAAATAACTCGAAGACATTTTTGGTCCCTAAACCATGGAGTGATTTGATTCCGGAGTGTTTCTTTCTCCACTCCAAAATTCTTCGTGCATGTTGAGGGAAAAAAAAAAAAAGCTTAAATTCAGTTTTTGGGTATTGCTCAAAAGAGACAGTACTTGGATTATTCAGGCAGTGTTGTAATGCTGCTGTACAAACTTTACTTCTTCAAACGTCTTTATGGAATAATGTGAAAGTAAGAAAGCTCTCAGAGTTGTTTAGATTTCGTGAAGTGCAGAGTATGCTCCGCCTTCTCTGTTGCGTTATAGACTCACATAGGAGGGCTGGAATTTCAGCATGGATCTTATTAGTCCTACGCCTGCTCAGACTTTTTTTGGTCTAATTTTCTTCTTATGTAAATGTTCTACATGACGTGGTTGTGACAACACAGGGTCCACCTGCTGGCACCTGTGACTGTACCCTTCCCAAGCTGTAGGCGGATTTTCAAGAACTAAAGGCTAACAGTCTAATAAGACAACTTTACACTGGACGACGTGGTCTTTTATTTTTAGGTCTCAGGAGAAATGGCAAGATGATCTCGCCGCAGTTCTTAAGGGTGGTGTACTGAATTGACCCCATCTTAGCACCATGTGATACAGTACCTGGGCTTCAGTCCCACAGTGTGAAAAAAACCTATGGTAGTACAGGCTCCTTTAAAATCTTTTTAAAATGAGCTGCCACACTCCTGTCTTGAGTAAAACCCATAGATTAAGTCTATGTATGTGTATATATCCAGTGAACAATATGTTGTAAACTTAAAATAGAATTGAAAAAGTAAGTCATTTAGAAATATTTTCCAACTATCAATATAACATTGGATGTATTAAGGACTGGATAGACATTTGAATCAAATTCTAAAGCTAAACATATCTAATCACCTTCTCCCTGCTGTAAGCCTAATTGAGATGGAGAAGATGAACAATAGCTAATATATTAACACTTTGAAAAAAACTCATTTCCCCCAAATTCTGTGTGCTTAACTCAGTTGCAGTCTATATAAGATGAAATTGAAGGACCTCCCAAAATTAATGTCTGATAAATGTTTCCCCATTTTTTAAATGTTTCATATGAAAAAATTTGTATTTCTTTTTTTTCTAATAATCTTACTTAGTTGATTAGTGTACAAAGGGTCAAGGGCTACAGGAAAGTGGGTAATACCATTATTTCCACACTGATATCATTTTTTTTCCCTGCATCTGGGGTCAGGGGAGAACAAAGGGAAAAGCCCCACGCAGCCTCCCTCCCAGGTCCCTGATGTGAGGCACGCTCCAAGGGTCCTGCTCAAGCAGTTTTGATAGTTCAACGGGTCTGAATTGCTGCCAATCTCCCTGTTCCAATCATGATGAAACCAAAAAATTTGTATTTCTATCCCACTGGGTTTAAGCAGTAGTCCAAATCCTGTGTGACTTACTCACAGCTCCAGTAAAAACACTTAAACTTGGAAAGAGACACTCGTTTTCCTATTAACACTTGTCTTCCTACACCCTTGTATTTGAAAAATCATATGATGCTTTTTCACAAAGGTGAAGCTTGCCTTATAAATCACAATAAGAGGGATAACAGGTGAATGAAAATTGAGTATATTTATCTTGCCATAATAATTGTTCAATATAATTTCCAAGAAGCAACATTCAATTAATTTATAACTCTCTTGAACATACTTTAATACATATTCCAGGCATCATTCAAAGTAAAAGTTACATGAAATATTGTCATTTTTCTCTTAATTTTTGAAAAATCTGTTTTGGGAACTGTCATTGTGACACAGTAAGTTAAGATGCAGCCTAGGGACCCGGTGCCATGGCCTAGCAGCTAAAGTCCTCGCCTTGAACGCGCCAGGATCCCATATGGGCATCAGTTCTAATCCCAGCAGCCCCACTTCCCATGCAGCTCCCTGTTTGTGGCCTGGGAAAGCAGTCAAGGATGGCCCAAAGCTTTGGTATCCTGCAGCGGCCATTGTGGTCACTTGGGGAGTGAATCATCGGACAGAAGATCTTCCTCTTTGTCTCTCCTCCTCTGTGTATATACCTGACTTTGCAATAAAAATAAATAAATCTTAAAAAAAAAAAAGATGCAGCTTGCAATGCCAGCATCTCAGATCAGCTGCTTCAGGTCCTGGCAATTCTACTTCATATCCAGCTTGCTATTAATGTGCCTAAGAAAGCAGCAGAGGATGGTCCAGGTACTCAGACCCCTGCTCTCCACACGGAAGGCCCAGGTGGACTTCAGGGCTCCTGGATTCGGCCTGACACATCTGGCTGTTGTAGGAGTGAACTAGAAGAGAGAAGATTTCTTTCTCTCTCTGTCTGTCTCTGTCTCCCTCTCTCTAGTGCTTGTTATTAAATAAATATAATTTTTTTAAAAAAAATCTTTTAAAATTGCACTATCCGACAAAAATCTGTCTCTTTACAAGTCACTATAGTTTTGAAAAGCATTTGGGACTCTGAGAGATTAATTTTAAATACCCAACACTTAAATATCAGTGGGGTTTATTCAAGATGGCCTCCTGCTTTAGAGTTGCCGTGTCGTGAGAAAGCCCAGGTACTGTGGAGACTCCCTCTGGGTGT